CCATTGCTGGATTGGCAGTGAAGATAGGGAGGCTTAGCAATTTTAATCTACATTAGTGTAGCATTGAATCTGGAGTAGTTCAAAAGTTTGTAGCCACCATAGATCCTATCCTAAGACCCCCTAGAATAAGTATTGTAAGACCTTAGCATGAAAAGTATGATTGCTTTTAACTGACTGATGGGTTAATTATATTGGCCCATATAATGGTCCCAGATGTGTTCTGTAGGGAGCTGAGGGTTTTTAGTTGCCACCTGGAATAGGCGGTAGCAGGCACTTTGGTTTGGATTCTTCCCATGCTCCTTCTCCCCATTTGTCAATCCCAGGGGACTTCTTGTTTTCCAAGGAGCTCTGAAAGATGAAACAACAGAAGAGATGTGTAGAGTACCATTGGAGGACAATGAAGAGTGAATTACCCAGTTTTTGTAAAAGTCCATATGAAGCATGACATTGTCACAATAAAGCAATTGTCCACTCTTATTGCATCTGCAATAGCCTAATTTAAATTAATTTATTCAGGAGGGAGGAGTCACTGAAATATCTTCAAGGCCATTGTGTGAATATTCTAGGATGTGTCACATAAAGTCACTTGGATCCACTCAGAGTAAAATTCTGAATGAGTGACTCCATGCGAGTTGATTAAGACATTTGCTTATTTTGTTATCTGTGAAACATTTGACTTTCTAGTTCCTGAGGAAGTGGACAGAATCTTCATGATTGTTAATCCAGCCATCTGTCCTTAGATTTATGTCTTTCCTGGTTAGTTAAGATTGTCTGACGGGGACATATGACTGAGTTCATGTGGTGGTGAATATATCCTTGGGTGAATGTATCACTGGACCAACAGTCCTAGATAACTTTCATCCAGTCTTTAACCCTTCCATTTTAGGGAAGATTTTTGAGAAGGTGTTGAGGTTGAAACTTCAGAAGTTACAGCTGGCATAGAATGTGGCAATGCAGGGCCGTTATGGGTGGACCTCAGTAGGCCATGGTAACAATTCTGCTACATGAACTGCACTGGTTATCAATGAACTGGGTGCAACTCAAGATGCTGGTTGTAATCTACAAAACCATTCCCCGCATAGGGTCTGATTATTATGTGACTGACTATCCTTTTCCCATTGTTTCTGCCCATATATAAGTATTGGTGGAATAGGCATGCTCCAGGCCTCTGCTTTAAAACAGTGTCTTCTGATATGTGTGTATATATGTAGGTAATCCTTGACTTTATGACCACAATTGAGGCCCAAACCCTAATCCAGCAGTTAAGGAGAGGGAACCTCTGACATTTATTTACAGGGAGTCCTCGGTTAATGACCACAAGTGAGCTACAAATTTCTGTTGCTAAGCAAGACAGTGGTTAAGTGAGTTTTGCCCCATTTTATGACCTTTCTTGCCATAGGTGTTAAGTGAATCAGTGTAGTTACTATGTTAATGTCACAGTTGTAAAGTGAATTTGGCTTCCCCCATTGACTTTGCTTGTTAGAAGCTCGCCAAAGGTGATCCCATGACCCTGGCACACTTGATCACACGGCCAGTGTGAAAAACAGTTACAAGTCACTTTTTTCCAGCGCCATTGTAACTTCAGTCACTAAACAAATGGTTGTAAGTCGAGGACTACCTGTAATACCTATCATCTGCCCTGGAGGGATGTTTTTATTAAAGATCTAGTTCCTGAGTTTTCATCTTCTTTTGGGCTTTTTACTGTAATCAACGTTGTTTCAATTTGTATGCTGCCCAGGATCATTACTAATGTAATTTATAAACATAAATAGTTATAAATATAGGTTGAATACAGTTACACTGCCATTTAGATACGGATAACTATTGATCACATAATCCAATTGCCAATATCACCTGATGCTCTTGAGAATGCAGCATTTGTCTGCTGTTGAAATTAGCTGGCATACTTTGATGACTGAGCCCTGACTTACCTTGGTATTTAATGTCACTTTTTGCAGTAGTGGGTGTGTTTTTTTGCCCCTACTTCCTCTCTATTGGCTGATAAAGCTGAGTGGCACTTCCAAGAAGTTTATTAAGGATGAGCATTCTTTGGTTCATCGTAACACCATCTAATAGAGCCTCAGCTATTTTTGGACACTGGTGATGTTATAAAGCGAGCCAGTTTGATCTAGTGGTTAAGGCACCAGACTAGAGACCAGGAGATTGTGAGAGCTAGTCCCATTTTAGGCATGGAAGCAGGGTGATTTGAGTCAGTCATTCTCTCTTGGCCCACAATGTCAGGTTCAGGCGACAAGCCAGTTGATCAATTATGGTTGCAACCAATAAATTAACACTCAGTTGATATTTTTTTAAAAAGCAGGAAAACGTGAAGGAAAAACATTAAGAAGACAACTGTAATATGTGAGAAATATTTGTCTGAATTATCAGAAAAAGCAAAGAAACCAGGAAACCATTGTAGGATAAACTATGCTAGGGCAGAAAGCAGGGCATATTATGCTGGATAGCTAGTAGAAGATGACAGATAAATATTTGGTGATCACCTAAATCAGTGTTTCTCAACCTTGACAATTTTAAGGCATGTGGACTTCAACTCCCAGAATTCCACAGCCAGCATTGCTGGCTGTGGAATTCTGGGAGTTGAAGTCCACATCCTTAAAATTGTCAAGGTTGAGAAACACTGACCTAAATGCATCTTAGTAACAAGCAAATCTCACTGCAGAGCTTTTTTGTGGTTCTCCTTTGTAGAACAGCAATAGTGAATAATGGAAGGGAGCCATTTTCCTGCTAGTTTAGTATGACTGTAGTTGGCCTATCAATGAAACTTGTAGGTTCCTTGAGGGGGACTTAAATTTAAGTAATATCCGAAGATTTCCACGGAAAGCCATGGAGGACAGTGTATAGGTGTGCTACAAACTCATAAAATTATTTGGTTCTATATTCTGCATGTCTGTGAAGATTTTCAGTCATCCAGGTCATGGTTGTCCCAAAGGTGCTTTTTCAAAAGGCAACCATACTTTGCTTTTCCTTGAAGGCGTTTCTCTTCTCATCCAAGAAGCTTTAGTCAAAACTGAAGAAGCTTCTTGAACAAGGAGCGAAATGTCTTCAAGGAAAAACAAAGCCCAGTTGCCTTCTGCTTCCCGTAATTTATGGACATTTTAACATTTAAAGAACAAAACTGCCTTTCTTGATCAAGGGCAAGTGGTTTGAAAAAAAATATATGTGTAAGCTGACCGAGGTTGAAGTAAGCAGATGCTCCTTGTTTTTTAGTTTTGAAAGAAAAGTTAAGATGCAGAGGAACGACTGCATGGCAGAGGGTTGATTTAGAACACTTCCATCTGAGGATACTGACAGATAATCTGTATCCGAGGATAGGTTCCAAAAATAAAACAGAGAGCAATTCCATTAATTCATGCCTGGACTGTGACAGATTTCAGCAGAGAGGAAAGGAGAAAGTGCCCATCTTGCTTTGTACAGCTGCGTCAAAGCTGTACGCAGTGGTAGCAGTGTGTATGTGATAATGGGACAGGGTGCACGGAGGGAGTCATAGTTCAGAGGCAGAACAAATGTACAATTTCCCCATTTCAATCTGTACCACATTGTTTCATCTTGGTGCCGCTAGTTGTGTAGGGATTATAGTATGCTCGCTTGTGGGACCTAGCTGGGTCTAGATTTTGGGATCTAGTATGCTGGATACTTGGATTGTAGTCTCATTGAATATGGAGGGCATTAAGTTGGAGCGGTTGCTCCATCATCTGCTGATTACAGGTTCCTGAGTATGAGGGCTGAGAAATATCTGGTTGCTTCTTATTGGATTAAACCGTGTGGCCTTAATGGATTCTAGTATATGCAGGGTATATGGAGCAAAATGAAGCAATAGCCAAACTCTGAATCAGAGGAAGTTGCCTTCCAAGAAACGGTAAATAATGGTAAATATGAACTAAGGCCATGGTTCTCAACCTGTGATCCGCGGACCCCTAGGGGGCCGCAATATCCTCACAAGGGGTCCACGAAGGCTTGAAGAAATGTTATAATTTAAATCTTGAGTTAAGTCTTGGAGGTCCATGGCCATGGTCTGTGGCCAAAAAAAGGTATTTAAAGAGGGCTGTGGTGAAGAAAAGGTTGAACTAAGGGATTTGTGTAGGAAGTCAGAAAGATGACCTTGGAGAAGGAATTCAAAAGCCTTCAGGTGCAGAAGGAATATGTTATGTTTAGAGAGACAGGACAGTGTTATAAAGTCTCAGACATAACACACACACACACACACACACACACACACACCAATGTTCTGGAACACAAGGGGAAGGAAGGGGAGAGATGGGCAGGCTTGCAAGATTCTGTTACTAAGGTCTATCTCAATAAAATATAGCTCTAGTCCTGTGGAGTCTGTTTTCTGATCTAGTCTAAGTCGAAGGGCTAACTATTTAATTGTTACTGACTATAAGAGAAAAGGGACAAGAGGAAAGGCTGAAGGGATCTGGGGTACAATAGGTCAGAACAGTTTATCCACTGGGCAGGATGGCAATTTTCCGTACATTGAAGCTCCAGGGCTCAATTACAAGAGTCTTTGCCAAGTTTTTTTTTGAACTTTGATCAACAATGTCCAGCTGTTGCAAGCTGCTCTTGCCAGAAAATCAGGCACTGCAAGGTCCCCTCCCACCCCCTGTAATTTAAAATATAAAACTCTTGAAATAGCACATTGAAATGCACAAAGCCTCAACACAAACCACCTTGTGGCTGAATGCAATCCTACCATGTCTTGAAATGAGAATGGTCTGCCAAGGTTTCCATCCCAGTTCCTATCCCCAAAGATACATCTAAGCCTTCCCACTGAAACTAATGAGATTTCTTGCGGTTTAATATAAGGTGTACATGAAATGCCTCCGGTCATTTTAGAACCACAGGTCCTAGCGTGAAATCAAGCTTCCCAGCTACTCAGTAAATAAAGGCGATGATAACAAAACATGCACCTTTGCTTAATCTGATTAGTGAAATAAAATGTGCGTGACTGAATGTGGGGTTTGTGTTTGAATTTGCTTTAGAGATGACGAAGAGAAGAAAAAATCCCCTTCTGATGGTACTGATGAGAAGGATAATGGAAAGTCTGTCAGTCGCATCGGCAATTCCAATAACCCCTTTCTGGACATTCCTCATGATCCCAATGCTGCTGTGTACAAAACCGGATTCCTGGCACGTAAAATCCATGCTGATATGGATGGAAAGAAAAGTGAGTGCTTTTTAGGGGGAGCTACTCTTCCCCCCCCCAAAAAAGAGCTGACTGTGGGAGGGAGGGAAGTGGTAAATACAGAAGCTTGAATATGTGCAGTTGTATATGCATGTTCGCTTGCTACTGGGAATGTAAATAAAAGGTGCTACTAGAAGAGTATCTGGGAATCTGGCAGCCCGGAGGGAAAAGCTGAGAAAATGCCTTGTGCAAATGTTTAGGAAGGTTAAGGAGGGAAACAGCTCCAGCAACCCATCTTGAGAATTGCTCCAAGAGATGGAAGGGGAATTAGCACACAGCCGCAATCTTCTTTCCCCTTTGCTAAGCTTTGCTATTCCCCTCCAGTCATTTCACTTTGCCACAGATATGTGGGAAGACTTCTCTGTGATGGAGGTCAAAGGATGAGATGGCTCTCTTGCTTAACCTCTTCTTAGTTCAAGCCCGGGAGAGCCAGTTTGGTGTAGTGGTTAAGGCAGGCCGTCCCCAACCTTTCTGGCTTAGCGGAGTGGTGGACAGGAGGAGGGGGAGAAGAGGGGATGGTTCCGTGAGAGCGGCCGGCATGCGCCCTCGCACGCACAAGTGGAGCCGCATGTGTGGTCTGATTCCGAATGGGCCACAGCCCGGGGGTTGGGGACCCCTGATTTAGGGCATTTGGCTTGAAACCAGGCGTTCCAGTTCTCTCCTTAGGCACAAAGCCAGCTGAGTGACCTTGGCCATTCTTCCCTCTCAGTCCTAGGAACGAGGGAATGGCAAACCACTTCTGAAATCTTGCTGAGAAAACTGGGACTGGACCAAGAGCCAATTCTTCCTCCCCCCCTCTCCCACCCCCCAAAAAAACACCAAGTCCTGAAATAGGCTGAAAAGCTTTTCTAGTGTTTTCATTTCTTACATGTTTCAATTCACTGCCACCACTTGAGGTATTCCTTTTGTCGCAGGCAGCTCCAAGGAATAATAGGGCTGGTAAATACAGGAAAAGAGGAGAGAGAAAAAGAATATTAAGAATTTTTCTTTCTGGAAGGGACAAATATCAAGTCCCTATTGTGCACTGCTGCTTCTTTGGACTACCCTTCTCCTACAATACTCTTTTTTTAAAAAAAAAACAAACTTTGTTATGATTTTAAATAATATTTTCTTCTTTTTTCTTCACTTTTGGCTTTCTCTTTTTATAATCTCTTTTTTTCTATTGTTTTTTTAATCAAAATTTAGTTTTTAGAAGAAAAGGGGGGGCTGAGAAAGAGCCCCAAAAGAGCATATTATTTATATTAGAGCTACCATATTTTAAACAGAATTTGTTTTTGTGTGTGTGTGTGTTGCTTTCCTAGCTCCACGAGGAAAGAGAGGATGGAAAACCTTTTATGCTGTCCTTAAAGGAACTGTGCTTTATTTGCAGAAGGTAAGATTTTGTTTCTTTCAACTCTTCTTGGTTAAAAGGCAGAAGCCTTTTTGTTTGTCCTTCTTTAGAGTTGCTTTGTTGAGTGATGAACGCACCACGACCACAAGACAAGTCAGGATAATAAGGTCTATCTGACGAACCATCTCACCCCAATGGGATTAGCCCACCACACTCATTCCAGCAGAAGCGACCCATTTGGTATCCTATCTGTCAAAGAATTTTAGCTGGTAGGGTTCAGGAGAAGACCCTTTTCTTCTGTGGCCTCTGCTTTCTGGAATATTCTCCTGTGAAGATGAGGTCTGCCCCCACACTCCTGGCCTTCTGGAAGAACCGGAAAAACTTGGCTCTGGCAACTGACCTGGGGCCACATTGGGGTGCACTAACTTGGGGATGGCTGATGAGGTAGAGAGAAGATCCCCACCTTCAGACCAACCATCATTTTGGGTTTTAGCTTTGCTGTTTGATTTTTTCCAATTTTATTTGTTTTATGATACTTTTTTACTTTTTATCTTATTGTAAACCACCCGGAGTTGTTATACCAGTGAGATGGGCAGGATAGAAATTTAATAAATAAATAAATAAATTTTAGATATTAATGAATTGCTTTGGGCTGTTTCAAGAGCATACATAATCTGAATTTTTTTTCCCCTTCGTAAAGCCCGAAGCAGAATACATTTCCTCTTCCAAATTTAGGAGTTATATATTCTGTCATCATATTGGGGAAATGTGCAGTTTTTCATAGCTTAGAAAAGCAGAGATAGTGGAAGTCACACTCTCCATAATTCACCTTCTCTTGCTTCCTTGAAACACTCAAATATACTATATGTTTCTCTACTGAGGTGATCTGTCACTTATCTACTTGTGGATTGGTTGATCTTAATAAGGTTACCTTGTGTTCTGCATCTTGTGTTCCTTAACATCACTACAGAAATAATCACCAAATAGACTTTTCCAAGCTTTATCCTTCCATGTTATTTATTAAGGCAGCAATTGGAAACAATTGAACAGATAGTTTGATGTCCTTCAGATATTTTGGGTTACCATTAACAATACTGGCTAGAAATGATTAGAGTTGGTCTAAATTGTCAAAAGACTGCCTTCTTATAGACATTTACATGGAAGTCAGTCTTATAAGGATGACATAGCCTTTCTGATCATCTTCAAAACACTATTTCTCCAATAATTAGTTGAATAAAGGTAATTGACGGGCAAGGTTTATATTAGAATGGTTTCTTTGCTGTTTTTTCAAGAGCAAAACCAACCATGAGTATTATAAAAACTCTCAGACAAACTACTTCTACTTTCTACTTCTACAACAGCATCCCTTTCATGGGAATTTTAGAATTATAGATCTGTGAGAGGTCCTACATTTCTATCATTATAACATCTCATTCAATAATAGTTCCAGGATTCTCTAAAATCACAACAGTTAAACTGGTATTAATCTGAAACAAAGATTCCGTTTGTATATATGTGCAGATATAAAGATGATGGTTGAAAATAAAAAAAATAGTTTTATGAACAAATGCCAAATGTTTCTGTTCTGAAGAAAATGTATAAAGACTGATGTAGAGATTGAAGTACTGTATATAGAAAATATCTCTTCACTTTAGAAGATAATCCTATTGTGTTTATAAATTAAAAATGACCAGATGATATTAATCTTTTTCTTTACTTTTTTATTCCAGTGTTCACAACAATGACATCCTTTTTTTTAAGAGACAGGGAGTGTGGGCTATGAATTATGTTGCTGATGTTATGTCTTAGCTAATTCCAAAGTCAAGCATTGCAAATGCTGTTTTTCAAATACTGCAGTTTTTTTTAAAAAAGTATTTATTTTTTTTGCTGTTAAGCTTGATTTATTTTTAACAGAGCTCTTGATTTATTTTAACAGAGCATGTGAAACTTTGAAAAAAAATCATCTAGAATTTTAAAAGATGCCAGATTTTTCTCATGATTCCTCAATTGTTGTTTGACTTCTTTATTCTTCTTGAAAAACAGCTACACTTTATAAATTGGTTACTTTTATTTTTATTTATATAATATATTTATATTAACAGTAATCTATCTTTAAGGTAGGGTTTCCAGCCATGGATAATGAACTAAGCATTTTTGCTTCCTCTTTCAGACAATATGGTAGAATCTGCCAAGTGTGACTGAGATTTCATTAGGATGATCTTTGCCATAGGAAGAGGTGCTGTATAGAAGCAGTGATTTTAAGAACAAATTGGTTGTCAATAGCAGATTCTTAGATAATGTTTTCATGGTACAATTGTCATCTCTTACCTGCAGACAGTTTCCACTGTTGTACAAAATGTTTATATTTGAATGTTCCGCTTCTGTAGTTCTCTCCTTGAAACCGGTTTTATCAACTCTGATTCAAGGATTCCCAAATTCACATATCAAGTCACTTGTCAATGTCTTCCGCTAGAGCTCGGGGAAAGTTGAAGGAAGTCCCCTTCACACTGTGCTAGCATTGCCAGACATACTACTTTTCACAGCATCTTTTGAGGGATACTGTCTACAGTACTCCAAGTAGTACAGTGTTTGTGAGTAATAGATTAAATTTTTGAGAATGGCCCTCAGAAAAAGCTGTTTCTTTATATCAACAAGAATATTGCATTGTCCTGAATTTGCCCTGTGACCTTGGTTCCACTTGCTTCTGGATGCTTCCTTCATTCTAAACTTTTTAAAATAGTATGAGTGATATCTAGTGCTCTCCCCTTAGAGATTAAAGTCAAAAGATTATTAATTGTAGCATCTCGAAAAATAATGATTCTAATATGCCCTTCTTCCTGGAAGAAAATATCTTGCTGAAAAGAAAAATGTGTTGAAGAAAAGGATACAAAATGGTCTTCGGATGCCATGTGGAATGTCACAAAGTTTGCTTTTAAATTCAGTTTTTACCTGGGAAAAATCAGAAAATGGAGAAGCTGGGAAAAGAAAGGAGGACACAACAGTTTTATAACTGGTCATCAGAAATGCTTTTAAAATCACCAAAGAGAGAGAGATGGTATGAGTGAAGCCAATAGTGAACATGGAGCAAACATTTGGGTGAACCAACTTAAAAATGGGGGAATTGAGGAATGGAAAGGCTCTTAAATGGGCTGATTAAATACAACTTACCATTGTGCACTAGATTCTGCAACCTGCTTGTCAGACAAGGAATGGCTTGGCCCCTTGCTTGTTGGAACACACTATCTGTCTTCCATTTTTCAATTCTAGAAATTTCAAATGGCATAGGAGAAAAATGTAAAACAGGACAAGAATATGCATTTCTTCAGTAGCATAGCTCAGAAATGGAAGAAACACAGAGATACACAAGATAGGCAACATATCAAAAAGCTGGCTTCCAATATTCTATTCTATTTGCCCAGCATTCCTTCACTAGTGTATATAAACAGTCTTGCTTATCTAGGAAACTAATAATAGCCTTGATTCTTAATGATTGGAACCTTTCCATGGAAATAGCTACAATGAATGGGAAGGATGGAAGTAAACCATGGCATCCAATTTAAGTTGTAGTGAGTAAAGCAGGTGTGTGTTCAGGCCAGTTTCTTTCCGTCAGAGTGATGTTAGTGAGGATGTGCTTGGGAATATTCCTTGTAAAAACTAATTCCATTGATCTAAGTCAGGGTCCCCCAAAATGGTCAAAATTGACCCCCAAAAGTCAATGGGATTATCCAAAAGATTGATAAATGGTTTGAGGTCAATATATTATAGAAAGTTGTTTGGGATCAATTAATCTTTGAGTCTCTACACCAATCCCTAATCCTGAAGATGAGGTAGCTAGCGGTGAGACAGTATTACCCAGGATTGGTCGGTCAGCCACCAGTGAGAGCAGCCTTGAATTCTCTTGTCATCGTTGTTATAATTCATAGCACTGTTTAGTTATAGTAATATTTATAAGTTATTTTCATATAATGTTTCTGGCTTGATGAAGAATATGAAATTTCATGAAGGAGTCAACAAGCTGAAGAGCTTTGGGACCAATGCTTTTTTAAGTGAAAACCCACACCATTGAAATGCCATGCAATAAGGTTTGTGGAAAGCTGTGTGTGAGGGACAAGTTTGGGAACTTTTCAGCCTGTCAGATTTTTCTGAACTAGAGTTTTGCTAGCCAAATAGCTAATGATACATGATGCTAGATGATGTTATACAGCATAATTTGGAGAAACACCGGTCCCCATTCCTGTTTACCACCTTATATGTGATCAATCTGAAATCCTCTTTGTAGGAGAGTCAATATGTTACAGATCTGTAGTTAATGGTCCCTGAGTTTCAGTGCCAAACCAATTAAATATTTAGAACTCCCATTTATTCTGTTCGATAGTGAAGGTTAATATGAAGGGTACAATGGGACAAGATTGGACTTAAAATTAATCTTGGCCTACACATTGTGCACACATTGAAAGAACTACTAAAACTTATTTCCCTTAACTGTTTTGTCAAGTTAAATTCTTTGTTTAAAAACTTTATATGGAATTTCATAGATAAGATTAGAGTTGCTAAACATTAATCATTGCTACAGTTTGACTTTCTGATATCAAGATGTATACATGCATATATACATATATATTATATGTAGAAGCACACACATACACACAAAAGTATAGGGTCATCTTGTGTCATTGGAACTAATGGGAGAATCTCACATGCATTTGTTATATTTTGAGAAAATGATGGCATTATCTATTGAAACTTAACTTACCTTATTGTTTTATAATCAGTGCTTTCAAAATGAAGTGCAGTGCAATGCACATTTAATCAAATTCTGCTGCCAAAATAAAATATGTACTTAGGAAAGTCAGGATCAGCAAATATTATTACTTTAGCCTAATGAATTCTTTAGGAAAAATTCAAATCATTTTTCCTTTTACAAATATTTCCTGTTCCTTGTAATTTTTTAAAATTATTGCATACCTAGGGTTTTTTTCTAGGTTGATAGGTTCATGGCCCCTGTGGCTTCCTCCCTCTCTCATATGGAGTAGCATTAAGTATGATAGATCATCTGAGCCATCTTAGTAGCTACTATTTATATTTGAATAGAGCCAATGCAAATGGCTACTAATTATATTTGAACAGAACCATTCATTGCAAATCTTAGTAAGAACAATACCCTCCAGCATGTGAAACCTGCCTTCAGTATTATTTAGTGTAGATGCTCTGTTGACAACTTCTCCCCTGTGCAGTCTATTTCATTTTATAATACTTTCGTATATGGGAAGAGAGAAATAAAAAGAAACTACTTGACGAAAAGCAAGCTGAGAACCTCAGTGGCAGCCTTAAGTTGTTTAAGTTGGCCTGCAAAACGCTATGAAATATTAAAAAAATGATTAAAAAGCCAATAATTTATTACCTCCCTCGTGAACACCTATGGTCTCAGGTTCACTCTCTCTTCTTAGCAAGATGAAATGTAATAAAAAAACAAACAGTAGTGGACTTCATAGAGTGATAGTAATCAGTTTTGAATTCTTGAGGTAATTGTTTGTTTGTTTGTTTTCCAAAAACAGCCTTTTACCTTACGTATGTGTTGGATTATAAGAGCCATGGGTTGCACAAATTGGTGATAATAGGACTTCGAGTTTCACACATTTGGAAGATACAGTACTTAATATGTCTAAATCAACATTTCTCAGTCTTGGTAACTTTAACATGGCTGGGCTTCAGCCCCAGAATTCCCCAGCCAGCATGCAGTCCATACATTTTAAAGTTGCTAGTGATGAAAAAGACTGATCTAGACAATGCTCCAGAGATCAGATCAATGACATATTTCTGTAATGTGGTTTGTCCCTTTTATGACACATTCTTATATACGTACAGGTAAAACTTGGGAGGAGGATGTACCAAATCCATAAAAAAGCTGAAACATTACAATGTGGGCTAGCTTGATTATTTTTTTTGGGGGGGGGACTTGGAATTGATTTTCATATCCATCCAAATGTACTATCACCCTTTGATTAAAATGTGATGGAATTTATAGCTTCAGGCCCAGGATTCAACTCTAGGGGCAATACCTTGTTTCAGAGAATGATACAGCGACCCTCCATATATATAATACAATATGGAATGCATTTTGCAGGAACTTCTGGCAGAAGTGCAAAAAAAAAAATGCAGGGAGCAAAATGTCGATCCTTTTCTCAACTGTGCTCCATGCTGTGCTCCTATTCTGTAGTATCCTCTGGCACTCCTTGAAAATGGAGCCTGTGTCTTCATCTCAAAAGCTCCTGCCCTCCGGTCTGCATTTTGATCACAAGATTTGGCTGAGTAATCCCCGGAATAGGGATTTTTCATTATTCCTTGGGTGTATGAAATATTCTTCATCTTGCCAAATGGAAGATGAAAAATGGAGTGATGTCTCTTTTGTCTGTCTGAAAATTTAGAGCAAATGTTGGCACTGATATTTAACTGCATTCAAAATGGTTTTTGTTTTGTGCGTAAAAGAGACACCCATATATTTTCTGGGTTGTTCTTTTTTTTGTTTAAATAAAATCAGATGCCTGCTTGCTTTGAAATAGTCCCCCTACATTCAGTGAGAATTCAAGATAAATGTGTATAGAATTTCTAAGGCTTGTTCAGCAAAATCTTAGGCAGTAGTCGCAATTCAGAAATTGTGTTACAGCTTCCGTAGTTTTATTCTAAGTATGAGAAAGCATTCTGTTCCTAGGAACCAAGTTGCTTTGCTTCCCACTCAAGGAATGCCAGAACTGCTATCTTTTTGAACCTGCTACTCTGTTCTCCTCATACATAGAATTCCCAAGCATTTGGATAACCATCCTTCTTTTCTGTTGACTTCTATTAGCACCAAAAGCTTTTCTTCCCTTTTCCAAAACCCCATTCTAAATGCAAATGAAGTGTCAGTTACTAATATTAGTACAGGATTAGGAGGTAAATAGGTAAAGGAATCCCTGCAGATTTTACTCCCCTAGTCGTTGCCAACTATAGGAGGCAGTACTCATCTCTGTTTCAAGGCCATTGAGCCAGCACTGTCTGAAGACATTCCCGCAGTCATGTGGCCAGCATGACATCATGGAGCACTTTACCTTCCCACCGAAGTGGTACCTATTTATCTACTCACATTTGCATGCCTTTGAACTGCTAGGTGGGCAGGAACTGGAGCGAGGGCAGGAGCTCACCCCATCGCATGGCGCTTGGGTCTCAAACCTGGGCTGCTGGCTTTCCAGCTGACAAACCCAGTGTCTTAACCGCTGAGCCACCACGCCACCTTAGCACAAGATTGCTTTTGCTAAAATCCTCAACTGTTCAAAAAGAGCATCCGTATTACTGTCAAACATAGTTTATTTGCAAGCTTAAAGTTCCAGATAACTTCATGATCAGATATGAAAGTCATAGTCCTCCAGTACTATTCCTGGTTCTGTAAAAGAGGCGTGAAAAGGCTTAGGACAAAAAGAAGTTGTACCTTTCACATTTGTTTTTCCCTCTGTACAGTGGCTAAAAGCGCAGGCACCTGTCCTCGGTTGCCTTGGCGGCATTTCTGGCTTGCCCCATAACTGCTAATGGGCATCACTCTACCTGGCCGACAGAGGCTCATTTACTTTATTTGGTAGGCTTATTTCCAGCCCTTTTAAAAGCTTTTCTCCTACTTCAGACATGTCAAACTCGTGACGTCGTGCGATGTATCGGAGCTTTTTTGCCATTGCCGGCAATGGGGTGGGCGCGGCTCCGGTATGATGAAACCGGCCCATGGGCCGGCAGTTTGACACCCCTGTCCTACTTGCTTTGACTTCTAATTTACCACCCTCTCTAGATATTTAGCACATGATTCAAATCCATCACTCAAACCTGGGGGGAATTTTTATTTATCTGGTTACAAAATTTTGGCTGTGGACTGTTCTACAGTGAATTTGCCATGGTTCAGTGCTATGTTGAAATGGATTTAATCAACAGCTGACCTGTAACAACTACACTGAAGATTTTTGGTTAATTAGAGCAGCTGCTACTGGAAGTATTTTCATATATCAATGCTGATTTGGAATTCTGCTGCACATTTTCTATGCCATTTTGTGGCGTTATTTCTTTTTTTGCTCAGAGTTCTCCATGACATTTTATCTTAATGGTCTTTTTGTAATTGAAGATGTCAGCTGTACAGAACATTCACCAGGTAGATATAAAGGAGAAAAATTGCAATGGCAAAATGAGGGGGATGCTGGCTTTATTTCTACACAAAAGCCCTGTGCTCGGTACTTCTAGGATATTTCTTAAACTCATCTGAAGGTTTTAGAAGTGGGAGTGTATCAACCAATGTGCTATAGTGGTTAAATGTTGATTAATGTCATTCAACCACAGAAAGTGATTGGGTAACTTTGAGCCACTCACTCTTACCTTTGGAAAAATTGAGAAAAAATATGTATCTCACTTTGAGCACTCAGAGGAATGCTTGGAGGAAAGGGAAGGAAAGGAAAGTAGTTGTTTTTTTTATTTTTCCAACTTGTACCATTTATTGTAACCAGTGAGGTGTGGAGGTTAAGGCAGTGGAGGAGGAGTGGAGAGATCTGAATTCTAAGTCCACCCTCAACCATGGAAACTCATTGAGTGATTGTGCCAGTTGGCTCTTGGTCAACCCAACCTACCTCACAAGGTTGCTATTATGTTGTATATAGTATGTTTAGCTGTGTCATGTATGTGTTTCACTTTGAGAGCGGATAACTAAATTTCATTTTCAATGTGTGCCGTTGTGCCCACATTAAAAAAATGACAATAAAGGTTATCTTGCAGGGACAAATAAGAAGAAGCACTATATATGCTATTTAGAGCTCCTGTTCAAAAGGGGGGATATAAATCTAATAAAAACTTCGCTCAACAGATTTCCATATTAATTTATAATTTAATGGAAAGAGTAAACTTTCCATATCTATAACTTAGACGTACTGGTGTTTTGAATCATTTTTTTTTCTTTGCAGGATGTATTCTTCTGTGCACCCATGTGGATATATAGTAGGCTTTTCACTTCAGATATCTATATAAATAAAAATGTAAATGTTCGTTTATTCAAAATCTTAAATCTCCGAAAGTTCTTCACCGATTGCTTTGAAATTTTGACACAACGTTGCATTCGAATATGCACGTGTTTTAAATACCTACTATTATATAGATGTCACACCTGTGACAGGTAAAAACATGTTTTTTGAAAAACAGCGCCATCTGTTGGACGTAAAAGCAACACACACTACGATTTTACGATTCCATTTCAATGTTTCCAATTTATGATCCATTTACGATTTCCAAATTTCCAATTCTTTCTTTTCCATTTAACCAGACTGAGCCACAGCAACGCGTGGCCGGGTACAGCTAGTGTTTAATAAGAGTGAATAGGGGTAATTTCATATTGTAATGCAAGATAAGTTACTTTCTCACCCATCGCTCATTTGCAATAAACATGTGTATGATCGTAACAACATGCTCTTGCCTTTGTCACTTCTGGTGGTTGTTTACAAAGCAATTTGAGTTCTTGCCTGCTGTTTGATTGCAGCCAGGGTTTAAAAAAAACATGCAAAAAGATAAATCTACCCTTTTAATTTCTGCAGGACGAATACAAACCAGAGAAGGCTTTATCAGAGGATGACCTTAAGAATGCCGTCAGCGTTCACCATGCACTAGCATCAAAGGCAACCGACTATGAGAAGAAGCCAAATGTCCTGAAATTGAAGACAGCTGACTGGAGAGTTTTGCTTTTTCAAGCTCAGTAGGTTCCAGTTTGGTTTCTTGCATGGTGTGGTTCATGAAAATAATAATAATCTTAGAAACATTGGGTGCCTCTCCAAAGACTTGTTTCAAGTTTGTTTTCCCCCCTCTCCCTTTTTTTCAAACTATATTTTTCAGTTCTGAGTATAAAGGACTGCAGGCTCCCATAAGTAAATACTGAAGCTGTTTGAGGTCCATCCTTTGCTTATAAAATCTTGCTAGAGGTTTCCAGTGTTAGTCAGGCAACCCAAGTAGCAGAATTATTCAGTAGTTGCAATAACTGTCTTGGCCTTAAATCTGTGTTACAGGTCTGCTATAATATATACAGGGGTGGGGAAGAAAAAGCACACCTTAGTATATGTGGTAATATATAACATGCAGCTTTTAAGCCTTAACCATCAAAGTCAAGGTCAGGACAAGCTGTTCAAAGTAATATCTAAAAAAAATGAATCCTTTTAGTCATTTAAACTTTAGAGGAAAAAAACTACAAAAGAGACATGCACGTGACTTTTGTAACAGCTGCAATGCAGATATTTTTTTCTATTGGGTAGAGCCGGTGTTTAGACTTAAGTCAAAGCTATAGGGGTGTGTTTTGCAGATCATTGAAATGCATCAAAACTTTCAGGGAAGGCTAATCTAGACCCTTATCCACCTTACTAGCGGAGAAACTAGAAATGTAAATAATAATGTTAAAATTAAATTTTGGGCTAGGGGCTAATTATAAAATTTAAATTGTTGTAATGGTTACTTCTGCTGGAAAGAAGAAAGGGAGTGGCAATGTCCCTAGATCACTTAGGTCCGTGGTGGCGAACCTATGGCACGCAGAGCCCTCTCTGTGGGCAGGTACACCGCCGCCCCAGTCCTAGGCCTTCAGCTGGGTTTTATAAAACCTTTTCGCTTTAGGCCTCCACTGCCATGTGCAAAACAAAAAAAAGGTTCAATCAATCAATCAATCAATTTCAACTTCTCGCGGGGAAAAAAAAGATCTTGCAAAGTTGGAATTGATTGATTGAACTTTTTAGTCCCACCCAGTCTGCCGTTATCACCGAAGCCACGCCCACCCAATGGGCCACACCCACCTAATGGGCCACGCCCATCCGGCACCCGACGATACATAAGTGGGTTTTGGGTTGCAGTTTGGGCACTCGGTCTCTAAAAGGTTCGCCATCACTGACTTAGGTGGACTTTAGGGAATATTTGTAGTTCAGGGCTGAAATGAGGGGTGTGTGGGGGTCTCAAAGCTTGATTATTTTCTTGCAGATGTTTCATTACTCAAAGTATGTAACAACATCAGTGCACTGATGATGTTACCTAGTTTGGGTCATGGAATGTCTGCCAGAAAACAACCAAGATCAGAGAGCACTAAGCACCCCTCATAAGTGGACTTTGATGACATTAATTAGAAGCCTAGGTTAACAGAATAACAGTTGGAAGGGACCTTGGAGGTCTTCTAGTCCAACCCCCTGCTCAGCAGGAAACCCTATCCCATTTCAGACAAATGGTTGTCCAATCTCTTCTTAAAAACTTCCAGTGTTTCGGGGTCATTCAATGAACTGTAGGAATGACTCCAGAAGAGTGTCTGGAGGGTATGATAAAAAAAAAAGTCAAATTGGCAGCTGTGATAGTGTGATCAAAATTATGCCTAAGCATATGAAAATCAGGCAGAGTTTTGATCAGCCCTTGATGGCCACCATCTTGATGTTTTTTAACCATACCCTGCAGACACTCTGCCTCCTTGGTTGACTCAAACTTAAGTTAAGATTATTACTCTGTGTTCTGAAGCTTAACAGGAAAGCACTCTTTTCAGGAAGTCCTCATTTAGCAACCGCCTTGTTTAGTGGTCATTTGCAGTTGCAGCGGTGACGAAAGAGTAACTTAACAACTAGTACTCACATTCATGACCTTTGTATGTCTATAAAGCAAATGAAAGCTGATGTAAGGTCAAAAAATTGTGATGTTTCTCTTCAGCAATTGCTTTGCTCAACCATCAAGTTGCTGGTTCCAGTTGTGTCTGCTAAACAAAGATTATATGCATTATGCAAGAAAGAGACTGTTGAACAAAAGATGGAAGGAAGCAAGAAAAATATGGAATTTTCCTAAATGTGGCTTACACTCAGGGACAAATCCTGAGTTGCTGCAAGAGAAACATATTCTGACGCAAGCATATGTAAGAGTGGCCTAAACTAGCCATTCTTTCTTTCTATGCCAGTGCAGATATTGAAGAGAATGTGCAAGTCTTATGCCTGAGGCCAGCCAGAGTCACTGATTAATCTGTCTCTCTTCCACAGGAGCCCTGAAGAAATGGAGTCCTGGATCAATAAGATCAATTCTGTGGCAGCTGTTTTTTCTGCCCCACCGTTTCCAGCTGCAATTGGATCCCAGAAGAAATTTAGCCGCCCTCTCTTACCTGCCTCTACCACCAAATTATCTCAGGTGAATGTTGTTTGTTTGTTTGTTTGTTTCCCCCTCTCCTTACAGCTTGCACAAACAGGGCTTCCAGTATTATTCTCCCTTGCAATCATTCTCAAATAATTGTATGCATATGGGCACTTGATTCATTAGTTACGATACCAAAAGTAGTATGGAGGCTGGCTATGTGATTTCCAAGTCAACTGTGAACGTAGCTGTTCTTTCTAGGCTGGCAGAATGTGGAAATGGGCAACAACAGTACCAGCCAACAGAGTGATCTCTCCTTTGACCCATGATAAGTTTACAAGTTAGGTACCAGTAGTCCTTGAGTTACGACTGTTATGGAGCCTGCCCATCATGGTTGCAACTCATGATAGTCATAAATCAGGTCACCTAAGTGACTGACCTGATTTTATAATCTTTTTGTGTTGGTTGTGGTCATTAAGCTAACCAATGGCTTGCTATCGGCCGATTTTGCCAAGAACCAAAATGATCATATGACTGTGGGACATGGTAAATGACCATAAATGCAGCCCGAATGCTCAGTGTCCAAAGTGCAGTCATGCAATCATTCAGGAGAGGGGGAACTGTTCATACTTTGAATCTAGATTGTAAGTATTTGCAGGATTCTTTTTTTTTCCACCATGTACATTTGAACTAGACTGTGATGTTTCTCTGTGTCATGTATGTGTCTGTATGTCGGTATATGAATAATGGTATTTTTTGAGAGCTGAATGCAACAAAATTTCATTTTAATGTACTGTATGCTGACTAGTGTACATTTAAAGTGACAATAAAGATTCTATTCTGTTCTATTCTACTCTACTCTACTCTATCAAGGGAGGTCTCTTGTAAATGTGAACAATCACTAAGCAACTGGTTGTAAGTTGAGGTCCACCTGTACTGATTAGGTCACATGATGGATGGATCGTTCTAAGTTTTGTTTAGAAAATTCTTGTTAATTTAATTAAAATCCTTGTAATATTTGAATTGCTGATTTAAGAACCAGGAATAGTTGAGTTCTGGATTTAGGAACTGAACACTCCTAAAGCAATTGAAATGCTTTTTTAATTATTTTACTAAATGCACTAGAGGTTCATTCTAATCTAAACCATGTAATTACCTCTGCAGGATGACCAGCTAAAATCCCACGAGAGCAAACTGAAGCAGGTCTCTACTGAACTAGCTGAACATCGTTCCTACCCACCTGATAAGAAACTTAAGGGCAAGGAGATTGAAGACTACAAGTTGAAAGACCATTATTTGGAATTTGAGGTATGCTGTGGTCAACTAAGACTGAGCACTAATTTGAAGATAGTCATTGTAGAGATCATAGAACTTCAGCAAATGAGTAGTGAGACGTTATATCTGCTTAAAGTTTTTAACTATAATTAAAATGGAGGGAAGATTGCCACATGTTTTAATCAAAAAGGTCTAAATGGGAGAAAACTATCCCATTGATGTCTATGTATTACTAAGACTCTCATTTCTGTTCCATTGTTTGTAATCTTCAGTTAGGCAAAACAGTGCATCATAGGACAACATTTTTGAATCAATTTACCTTAAACGGGTTAACTTTACAGAATACAACCAAAATCTAGGACCTATGACTTTCGTGGGATTAAAATTTGGCAAAATTGTGACTACTTCATTGCTGCTAGGTAACTGCAGTCCACTGCAGTTACTTGATTGTCATTCCCAATGCTCCAAGCCAGCTTCCTACAAAGAAAGTCAGAAGGGAAACCAGCAGGAAGTTAGAAGTTGCTTCCATTCCCACTGCTTTTTTGCACACCAATGATCATTTTGTTTTTATTTTTAGGTAAGCAAATACCTTTATAATGATGACCCAACAGAGCACAGGTTGTCTAGTAAAGCATAAATGTAGAATGGTGGACCAGATGTGTATTTGCTTTGTTTGAACTAGGCCGGGGTAGGCAACCTTGGCTCTTTTATGACAGCATGGCTGGCTCAGGAATTCTGGGAATTGAAGTCCACGAGTCATAAAAGAGCCAAGGTTGCCTACCCCTGAACTAGGCTGTTAGTTTTTGAATAATCAGTCTATAATAATTTAGGAAGACAGTGATATTCTCATGTTACTCTTGCCTTTTTAATTCTGCTTCTTTGTCTTCATTTGACACTGGCATTTCCTCCATTCTTTATAGGGTTAACCTATGCAGGAAGCTTCCTCTCTTATTCATTTGAATTTCCAGAAACTACCAGTATGCCACTAGGGATGGAACAAGAGTAGTGGATGCCATTTCTGGATGGCAGTGATTGACTACTTAAGGAATAGGGTTTAAGTTCTGGAGTTGAGCTAAATTATAGGCAGTGCTATTCTACACTTTTCTAGAGCCATGGTTTTCAATGTTTTAGTTCCCAACAAACCATTTATATATGGATTATATATGGATTAGCCTGTATAGCAATTAACACCCTGGGTCAGTCTTGGGTCAGTCATGTTCTTGGGTCAATCTTCCTCACAGGGGATAAATGAAGGGAGCCTTAAGTTCCTAAAGAAAAGGCAGAGTTAGAATGCAGTATTACAGGCAAACTCTGCCCACAGCCTGGAGTTCAATTCTGACCGGCTCAAGGTTGACTCAGCCTTCCATTCTTCCGAAGTCACTAAAATGAGGACCCAGATTGTTGGGGGCAATATGTTGACATTGTAAACTGCCCAGAGAGGGCTGTAAAGCACTATGGAGTGGTATATAAGTCTAAGTGCTATTGCTATATAGACCTAATAGATAAATAAATGAAAATTCATTAGAATATCACCTGACAAACATGGCCAATATACTATTTTTAAAAGAAAGCTGCTTATTTGTTTGTTTGTTAATTTAAATTTATTTGCCGCCCATCTTGTATCCAAAACTCTTTGTGACTTACAGCATAAAAACATTGAAAAACATTAAAAAACACAGTAGATCAAAACATTAACGGATTAAAAAACTATGAACACAACGTAGCAAAGAAGGGAGTCAGACACACCGGGGGTGGGGTGGGGTGGGGTGGGGAAGGTGGGGTTGAAATTTAAGTAGTCAACTACTTCCAGTATGAAGTTCTCCCATTGGGTCCTCAAGCCATCTGGTAGAGCCAGGTCTTAAGGCTCTTAGGAAACATCAGGAGGGTGGGAACTAGTCTCACCTTAGCGGATAAGATGTTCCAGAAGGTGGGAGCTATAAAAAAAAAAGGTTAGATTAAAAATTTGGAATAGAGGGAGAAAAACTCCAAGGCTGAAGAATAATTGCTATACGACAATCATCATTTGTGGCACCATTTCCTCGCTGTTCAGTTCTCCAGCTTATTCATTATCTGATGAAGCATAATCAGTTCAAAATGGTATCAGCATTCACCTCACTAGTTCCGTATTGTTGAGTGACATGCTTATATAATTAGTTGTCTTTTCACCATTGCTGGAAGTATAAATACTAAGCACATGACTATTTCATTTAACTGTCAAATTGATTTTTCTTATAATCCGTCTCTTCCAAGGCTTTCGAAAGCTCGTCCACCACCATTGCTTTTTGTCTTGTTTTCTTTTAAAGAAGCCTTGAAATCTTCCTGCATTTGTATAGCAATGCTTACCTGAGTCATGCTTTGAAATTACAGAAAGCCCTTTTTGTACTTTGTTGGAGAGCACAGTTTTGACAATAAGCTTCCCTTTAAAGAATGTAGGGCATTTGGTAGAACTTCATCAACATTTGTCATGATTCATTGGGAAGGGTCAGAATGCATGTCATTAAATAAGTAATCCTAGAGATTCTAGCATCTTCATTTTGCACCTCTTAAAAGCCTTTTTCTGAATTCTGATTAATCACCACTAGTTATCTGAGTTAATCACGGCACAAATGAGTGAAGCTGCAGATGAAACTGCCACATACAGAGGAGTCGTGGTTTTCTAGAGAGTGAACAGATTCAGCCGTTGGCATTTTCAAAAATATGTTAAATCTTCTTTTACACTTTGTATTTGGTGCCTGTTGGGCTCAGAAATTTGTGGCAGTGAAGTGATACATTAAAATGCAACAGTCTGCCTAGCTGAAGACCAGCAATGGTATCTTTTACAAATAATTAGAAATCCATACCATACTGAAACACATGGCATAGAGAAAAACCTAAGTTCAATCTGTAATGATTATTTAGACATCAAAATGCTAAATCATAATATTCATAATCTGCATGGAAAGATGAATACCTAGTAAATTAAAGTTCTGAATTGTATATGTAAATGTATATCCATTTGCCATTGCTGAATTTTCTACTTTACATAGTGATCAGGTGGGCATAAAATGAAAGGGATTCTATTGTTTTCAAAAAGCATAAAGGGGGAAGTATAGGAAAGGACAAGTTGAGGCAACAATAATGATCCTTCTTATTAGTCTGCCTAAGTCTTGTGTGTAGACTGAAGATCCTTACTAAATGCAAGGAGGAAGTTATTCCACACTCTTAAATCCACTACTTTGGACAAGATTCTTTGCCTTTCCTTTCAAAATACAACATTCAAAATTCAAATGCTTCTCCTGAGAAAGAGCCAACACACATCCTTCGGTTTTCAGTTAACAAGACATTTAAGTATTACTTCTGAATGCCCTTGTTACCCACTAGCTAATATTGCTCTGCTGGCTTACTTGCTAGGCGTCCCATTTGTCGTGAGTGATTTCCACACCCATCGCAGAAGTGACACTATAGACCGAGTCTTTTCTTTCTTTTTTTCCAGAAAACCCGTTATGAAATCTACGTGTCTCTTCTCAAAGAAGGAGCAGGAAAGGAGCTGCTGAGTACCAGTGAGATTGATGGTCCTGGACTGAAGAAATGCCACTCCAGCCCTTCATTAAATCAGGAGTCTCCTGTTAGTGCCAAGGTGAAGCGTAATGTCTCTGAGAGGAAGGACTATCGACCGGAAACTCCCAGTATCAAGCAGAAAGTTACTTAAGAAAACTAAGGCAGGCTGAAGGATCACGCACCGCTCTCTCTCTCTCTCTTTGATAATAACCTGTCCTTTGCGAAACAAACAAAAATTAACACATCTGCCTGAATGGGTGTTAGTGACATTTTTCAGTTGTAAATTTTGTTGTTTCTGTACAGGTTGTTGGAAATGTTTTGGCTTCTAACTTGCATTTGTCTAGTTAAGTTATCATAGAGCAATTGATCCAGTCCTCCTTTTCTCAAAAACATTGGAATGGGACAGGAGAGATGTCATGGTATATTTATCTCTCTGTCATATGTTGGTCTTCTTTTGTTGGCTTGTAATTTTCATCCGAACTGCTGCTGCTGCTGCTGTTCAGCCGTGGGGGAATGTCAAGACAAATGGAGGCTTATCAACTTGTTAAGCCTTGTCAGCGGATAAGCTAAGATGTAAAAGAGACTGGGTAAAAAAAAATATGTTCATGTGTTGCCAAGCTCGATAACAACATGTTGTGGAAGATATGCCAGTAACCAGATTATTGAGTGATCAGTCATTGTGATTAACTTTATGAGTTACCAAGTTAATATTTAGGATATAGAAACAGATGAAGACCTTCAGTGAGTAGAAATGATTTCAACCGAAATAGGTCTTATTTTTTTCATGTTCCTGGGTGGAAACTTTCTACCATAACCGTCTCTGTTTTATCTGCACACAGTGCTACCCCAATGATTCTCAACAGCAAATAATCATATATTCGTTGTACTGATATCAGTAGCGTGTAATGTTTTTGTTCAATTGGCATTATGATCCTCCTTCAGATGTTTAAGTATTTTCAGGCACTTTATAAACTAGTTGATCGAAATCTGGTATCATTCCAGTCCCCATTTGCTAACCAACAGTTCTCCTATGCTATAGAATTACCTAACAGAGATGTCTGTCTATTCCCATCCCCATATTGTATTTCCTGATTTTAAAAAAAAAATAGCCCAAGAACTCTCTCATTATTACAGTTCCTAGAGTGGTCTCATTCCCATTGCAGAGGATGGCGTTATGTCTGACTCTTCCTGGGGATGAGAAACATCTTGCAACGCAAACCAAAGAGAAAAGAAATAACCAGAATAACGGAGGATTAAGTTATAATCAGGAGCCACGGAAAAAGGCTTTCTAGGAAATAAGAAGTTTGGAAAATTGTTGAAGGGCACCTTGTTAAACCCAGAAATGGCAACTCAAAGATAAGAACACATGTTCTGGAGGGGCATTATTTTCTAGGCGGGGTTTGTACATTTCTTTGCCCACTTTTTGAAGAGGATACATTGTGTAAAAAAAGATACACACCCCTAGGCTCTGTCAAGCTGGGAGATAAGAAAACGACAGGGTGACACATGTGAAAGCTCTGAATTAGGATCCTAAATTTAGAATACTAAATAAAAGCTGTCAGTAGTCAGGACATTCTTTATAAGTGCAATTAAGGTATTGTTCTATTTTAGTACTGGTAACTTGTGGCTCTTTAGATGTCACAAATATTATAGTTCCCAGCATCAATCACTATTAGACTGCTATACCTGCTAAATAAGATGCATATCAGAAGCTCATTAAGATAGGACTCTCTTACCACCTGTACCTACATAAGAAAAATTTCCTTCATTTTTCAGTCATGATTTATCATTTTATGTGAGGAATACTAAATTGATATTTATGCTGCTGGATAAGTTGCTAGTTAGCCTGCCAAAATAGAAAGATCTCCCCCCCTCCCCAAAAAAATGGCAAATGGTTCTGAATCCAGTATTTTTCATCAGGAGTTCAGAAAAGCCAGCAGACTGCTTGTTGAAATGAAAAGAGGTGGCAGTAAAATGATGGGACGGATTTACATCATCTTTTTTAAAAAGTGGGAAGGGGTGTGTGTGTTAGTTCAGTGTATGCTTTGTACTAATGGAGTACAGGGGAAAAAATGAAGAGGCTGTAAAATGTTTGGGAAGGAGACCTTGGTAAGGCTGGGGAGAGATACATATGAGAAATGTTAAACGTATCCCTTGAAAACAGAGAAACCACTTTTTTCTCTGCACATGTGTGAGACAGTAATACTATATTAACACTGTATATGGTGTTTACATAGCTAAAGTAGACTAAACTGAGTTATTCAAGAGCTGTTCTAGGTCGGTTGGCGGTTAGCTTCCATGACTGTTGAGTGTTACTGATGGTGTTGGCAGACTCTAGGATAGCAGGGTTTTTAGTTTTGCATTTTGGAATGACTACATTACAGCATAGTAGGAATTATCAGGTGTGTGCGATTACTCCTTTCATTAAAATACAGAGTTTGTGGTTTGATTCACCCATTGCACTAAGTTAAAGTTTATTCTAATCAAACTCCGTTATGCCGACCATAATGGCTAGATTTGCCAATATACTGAGCCAAAGTCAAAATGAAATACCCCATGGCATAAAACAATGTGGTGAACCCATCTACACGGTGACTGACTCAATATTTCTTCATATAAACACGCACTTGAAAAAAGGATCAGTGGGGGGAAACAGTGGTTGCTCTTTGTTGCGCTTGCAGATCAACAAGCTTTATAAGATTTTGGAGTAACCCACGTGGCAGCCAGGCAACGGATTAGATATACTCCACTCATCTAGTAGAGTCAGTGCCAATTAGTTTCGTGGACTTCCTGATGACTTAGTACGAGTTTGGTCGAGATTGCATAGAAAGATTGGAGAGGATATTAAATTGTTCCCTTGAGCTCCTGGAGGAAAAGCAGGATATAAAACAAACAAACAAACAAACAAATAAATGCATTTCCTCCAATTGCAAAACCTCTCCTCCCCCCCACCCCACCCCCCCTTAGAATATTAGGTATTTTTCCATTTGTGTGAAACTGTGGGTTGCTCCATAGTCTGGATTTGATCCAGAGATTACTCAGTCAGTTGGAAAGTAGGAAGCATGATTTAGGATAAGAGCCCTAGAAGTACAGAAAGAAGAAACCACCACCTAGCTGGGTCTCTGTGCTCAAAAGGAGAGAGATTGCAATTTTTTCCATGCACATGATGACATGTCAGAATTAACTGTCTGTGTTCATGTTTCCATTTTCTCCCCCCCCCCCCATCCTGTACTCCTTTCACTTTCTAAGAATCAAGCCCGTTAGGCTTAATATTAAAAGTACGGTTCTTGAAAGAGGTTTGATAACAGTTGGGCGCCTTCTGCTTTTTTTTTACTGGATTCTTTTGTGATGCTTCCAGAAGGCTGGAACAAACCCCAAGATGGCTATTCAAGTCACACAATTAAAAGCTGGAATGATGTGCACCCTGATGACTGTTGCCTTGGGGAAACAGCAGTGCAGCCAATAATTGAAATGCTGCAGTTCATGAATGTATTTGTGTCTACTTCTTTTCAGAAGCAGAGGGGCATTCAAATTATTTATTACTTCCAAGGTGCCTATGGTGGCGGCAGGCAGAGGGTGTGCTGTAAATTACCAAGAGTGCAGTCAGTTCTTCCCTGAAATAAGGGGTCAAGCAGGCTTTGGCTTTGTTACAACCTTAGTAGGTAGCTCAGTAGTTTTTCACAGAGGAATAAGTCTGCTTTTACGTTACATTTACTTACAGAGCAGAACATCAGACATTGCACTTGTGAACCTATCTGGGTTTAACATAAAGCTGCCTTTTTGTTGATGTGTTGACTGCAGTCGTTGATGATTAAGCTTCTCCTATATAACCACGGGGCCATGTTATGAGCCAGCTTTTACAAATAAAGTATTTTTTTTTCTGCTCACTTGAAAACTAAATTGTAGTTACACTTGCATGGGAGATATGGGTGCACTGCTGATGTGGATATCCACATCTAGGCAAGGGCATGCATCACAATACAATAGTTGCCTATGCTCTTGTGAAATATGTATATTGATAGGTGCAATTATATTTAGGTCTTTTGCGATTAGAAGGTTTTGGCTGGCGTTGGATAGGGACTAGGTACTTATATTAACTTTTGCTATATTTCTGTTTTTCTGTTTGCAAGCATTGGCACATGGGCATTCAAATTCTATATATATAATCCTTATGGTCAGGGTCTATGGCACGAAGCTCCTATAGAAGTGTATTCACTCGTCTCTGGTTATATTTTTATATGTCAAAGGTTTTCCTAATACTACTTCACTTTGCCATTGAAGCTTGTGGTAAAATAGCCAAATCTCTTACAACCATATGGTTTTGTGTTTTTTTAAAACATCCCTAGGGATCACTTTTTCAGTCCCAGGGGTTTTGAAACTTGGGTGGGTATGGATAATTGTATATGATCTAAAAATTGCTCCTGAAATTCTGCAGCTCATATCAGCAATTACAACACCCTCGGGAATAGGCTTGCAGGCTAGATCCCTTGATATTTAAACTGTTGCTGTGTCTGGAAGCAGCAAGAACAGCTTTCCAAAACAGAGTTGCCCTCTCTGTCTCGCATTGTGTGTCCTTGCCAGTTTCACAATGTCTTTATTTTTAAGTCTTGCTCTTCAGTTTTGACCCACCGGATCTGTTATCACTCCAATAACTGCATTCCATAAGACAGCAGCACTGTGGCTTCTAGAAACCAACAGGCATATCTGATTTCCCTTCCGGATTACAAACTTCCAAGCTGAACTCTTGTGTCGTTGATACCCAGCCCATTTAGATTATTGTAACTTTTTTAAGTCCTTGGAGGTGTGCATCACTAAATTCAATTCAGCTAGGCTGAGATTTTACAAAGCAGTCCTATTTATTGCACTGAGTCGAATGCATTTTAAAGGAAAGAAGCAAGTAAGCTTTTATTTTAACAGATCGCCCCTCCCCTTGGTTGCATGTGCCTGTTATTTTTCTTAGACGTGTTTTCTTTTATACCCTTATAGTGGTATCTTGCAATGTTTATATTATTTGAGACCTGTTTTGAGCCAGATTAGAAGTTCTTTTCAAGGGGAATCTCTGGATGGTACATTAATTCCATTTAATTTTCATTTTCACAATATGTTCCCAGTTTTATTTTCTGCAAAGCTGCAGTGCATTCACACTCTGTAACAGACTGAGATGTCTGAAAATCAGCACTTTAGTTTGA